TAAAAGACTGATTCTTATTTAGTCTTTTCAAAACTGATTCATTTCTAAGTTTAATGATGGATCAATTCAGTGCAGTCTATCTCAGTCTAATAAAACAGGTCTATTAATGTTTTTTAGTTCAGTTTTGGTTTTAAAAATGGTCTTTAATTATCTAAATCTCTTAACCATTCTTATTCAGTCTTTTTAGAACTGATCTATCCCTAATTAACCGTCACAGAATGTGATGATATATCCAGTTTGTTCTCTAAATACTATTTTAAAAAAAACCTATTATGTTTATAATAATTTGTTACAAAATATAATTGAAAGGCTGTTAATAAAATTTTTTTAAATAGTACTTAGAAAACAAATTGAATATAAAATATAATTGTAAGTCTAATAACAAGTTTTTCTTTTGACAATGTCTAATATAACATTGTAAATTTTAATTTATGCATCTTTAAAAGTTTCGTCAAAGGGTTACATATATTAATTGTCGTAATTCTAAATTAATTAATTAATAATTTAAATGCATCCTTAAATATTTAAAAATTAAATATATGACAGTTATTAGAATTGCAAATATTAAAATAAAATATATAAATACTTTCAAAGAATTAAGTCGCTAGAATAATTTTTTATAATGGTAAAAATTTTAGAACTTTCAAGTTATCCTGAAAATGAGACTATAATTTATAAAGAACAACAAAATAATCAAATTCGATATAATTTCACTTATATAATTGAAAAAGAAGGTTTTTATCCAAAAACACCAATATTAGCTTATACTGATTGTTCTCGAATTTACAAAATTCCAGATAATTATGCAATTAAAACATTTTATACTTGGAACCAAGTTCGTTATATTATATGCTGTGAAATAAATTATATTGATAATAAACCTCAATTTAAAATATTGCATGGCCGAAATTTTGAATTTCAAATAGTAAGTTACTCAATTTCTGAAGCTGCTTTTAATCTTAAACAAGTAAGTTTAATGAATTAGTTTAACTTGGATTCAGTCACAATAGGTAGGTTAGTGATATCATAAAAATGTTGCAATAACGTGATCACTGACCACTTCCAATAAAAAGCTAATAATCATTTCAACGTAATACATAATTTGCATTATCAAGTTAGTGATCATGTTATCACAAAATTTTTATAGTACTACTAATCTTAATTTATAAATTATAATATAGCGATAATATTACTTTTATATTGATATTAAAATATAATATGTTAATTAATTAATTATTTTTATTAGGCTCTTGGTTTTAATGAAGATGTTTTAATATCTGATATCGATATATATATATTTGGATTGCAATTAGAATCAGTTAAAATTGTAC